GCCCTAGGGATCCACCTATCTCTGCCTCCCCAGTACTGAGATTACAGGTGTGCACTGCTGCACCAGCCCATTATGAGGAACCATTATGGGGTCTGACTCAAGTCCTCATGCTTGAACAGCAAGCACTTTACCACCTGAGCTATCTTGTCTCCCAATAAGCCAGCAAGCACAGAGAAGAGCTGCTGGTCAGAGAAAGGGCCAGTCTGGTGCCACTCTGCAAGAAGCTCCAAGGGAAATAAACTAAAAACTGCCTCCCCACAACTCACAGAGAAACACAAGGCCAAATTCATACATAGCTGTAAGAAAAAAATGCAGAAATTCAAGACTGGACCGACTCTCCTGGAGCTGAGACCATGGCACAACCAGAGGCTCAGACAAGTGTTCACAGCCAACCAGAAGACAGAAATGCCACTCCTTGGGAGAAGGCAAGACCCACATAAGTTGGTCAAGGCAGGGAAGCCTGACTGTGTTCCTCCTCACACCTGTGTATGCAGATCACCAATCACAGCACTCCAACTCAGACTCACAGCAGTGACTGTAAGCCTCAGTAAATGCAGGAAAGACATTAAGAACAATTCCTTACAGGACAGCAGCACAGACAAGATTGTCTACACAAGAGCTGCCAATGTGAGTGGCAGAAAAATGAATGGGGAAAAAGGAAAGCCACTCTACAAAACCACAGCAGAAGACATCAAAGCAGCACACTGCCAATGACAGGACAGAATCCATGCTGGAAAGGGCAGAAGTCACCCTCTAGAAGACCTGAAGCTGGGAGTCAAGACCTAAGATGTAAGCTAAGAACAAAAGAGGAGGCTGACAGTAGGCACAGCACACCTCTGCAGCCTCTAATCTGTGGCTGCTCCTGGTCTCCTGCAACTTTCCATCACTCCTGACACCATCATGTACCATCCCAACTCTACCTTTTATCTAATCAATCACTCCACTAGAACAAAAGCTCTGCAGAACAGTTACCTTGCTTGGCTAATTGTTATGTCCAGCTCCCCAAGCAGCTGACAGACTGAGAACTCTTAAAACATTTGCTGACCAAATAATCAGGAAAAAAAAAAATAACTATAGCAAGTAGAAGACAGTGATGAAAACACATATGAATGAGCCAAGACAGAGAGACAAGTAGTATCTCAGAATTAGACAATGGCAAAAACAGAAAAATAAATTTAAATTTAAAGGGTTAACAAAAGCCAACTTTCCTGTTAAAGCAAAACATAATCTTGCACAGTGACTGGGCACAGGGTACCAGAAAGGCTGATACACAATAAATACAGACTTGTCCAGCTTGTAATGCTTTAACATTAGAGGAGGAGGAGGAAAGGGGGGGTGAGGGGGAGGAAGGGTTCAAAGAGAAAAAAATGACTCAATATTCACATGGAGGTTAGGTTTTTTCTCTTGAAGATTCACTAGCTAAAAATAAACTGGAGTAACATAATCAAGTCATCCTTCAAGAGAAGGCAGAGATACATTCTTTGGCATAAAAAGTTAAAGGAGAATAAACCTACAAGTTATTTAAATCCCCCCCCCACACACAGTAGAACGTAGCCAACCAAGCAACACAAGAAGCTGCAATAAAGGACGTGTAAATCGATGCATGTAAAAACAGTCAGGAAAGTGCTTGCCAAGCACACATAGGGAGCTGAGTTCAAACCCCCATGTAGCGGCACACACCTGCAATCCAGTGCTGAGAGCAGAGCCTGGCAGAGCTCACTGGACTGCCAGGCCTATTCATTGACCTCCAAGCTGCAACCCTGGGAGAAAAACAATGCAGTCCCTGGAGGGTGTGCTCTGTCTTCCACATGCCCACGTGCACGCAGCCCTGTGCTAACCTCACACAAACACATGCATACCCACAAGCGGATCAAGACCAAAGAATCAGAAAAGTACTCTCAAGGATAATTATTATCAATCCTATCAAACAAAATAACACAAGAACAAACAAAAACGGGAGCATGGGAATGTTTCTTTTCATCCATATCAAGTCTTTTAAGGCAATAAGACATCTAAGTATAGCATCCAGAGGGATAAAGAAAAGCACAACACCTAAGTTAAAACCACAAATCAAGCAAGATCCACAAGAGAGATCCATAAATGCTGTCTCCTCTACCACAGCAGCAAATCCATAAACACTGAATCCATCTCCTAATCTGTGAAAGGAGATTATGATACAAATATATAAAGACGATTACTAAAGTAAAAACAAGCAGCACGCCCACATCCTAACAGGAAGATATTAGTGTGCACACACAAAACCAAGTTTTCACAGCAAACCAGGGACAAGAGATATAAAGCATGGGGAACAGGGATCGAGTGAAGGCCAAGATACATGAAGAAGCCAGTGTATGTCAAATGCGGTAAATTCAACTGTTACACAGTCAAGACTCAGTTTGGCTCAGGCGACAGACTGCATCTTTCAAACACAGCAGCAACTCTATTTCTGTTTCATATGCTCTTCCACATCCTCCTAATTCCCAGAAGAGATCCCAATTCCCATTGCCTTGATCATGTTGAGTGGCAGCAACAGTGACAATGAGTTCAACCGATGACTGAGCCCGTTGAGCTGGACCACCTCAAGGGTTGCCATGAACCAACCGTCGTGGCACAGTTGACAGTTATTCTAAACTCCTGAGATCTGGGGTGATCTACTAGCCCAGCAATAAGTAAGCACAAGAGGTTACCGTAAAAGACCACAACAACCACTGACACCACAGGAACTGCAAGTGGCTGTGGCCAGACACCCAGGGAAAAACAGAGTTGGGGACTGGAACTCAAAACCACAAAATGAGGCCGTCCAGTAAGAACGAACCTGATGCACAGGTCAGATGATGACTACCTGCAGTCACCCTCAGACTCTGATACTCACCAGCCACTTCACTCTGAAGGAGAAGAGCGCACTAAAGGCAAAGATCACCCACAGGATTGGACAGGCAATGAGTCCTAACCAAAAGATTCTTGACTCAGCCTCAGAAACAGTCTTGTTGTCTTGAGGAGTTGACTACAAAAACAAATAATACAGAAGTCAATACAACCACTAATATCAGGTTCACCAGTAAAAGTCTCTTTTTAAACAGAAAATACATTGTGCTCAAATTCAAAGACTAATAGAGATGATCCACGTCCACGCTGGAACCAAAAGCACAAAACTAGTGGTTCTACTACCACAACAACTTAAATAAATTCGTGCACTTCACTGCATGTTTGCAGCAGAACGGAAAGACTTGGCCTTGCACTAGCACTGCTTACTCATAAGAAAGCATTGCATGAAGCCTTTCTAGGTTAAGAGTTACAGAAATCAAAGAGTCATCTAGGAGATTTCATGTCTCAGCAAAACCCAGGACTTGATAAATGTTCTGAGTTGTTTGCATGGCAGATTTGATGCCAGGAACACAAACTCTCTGAGCACAGCACTGCTTTCTGTGAAGTACTACTTGGAAAGGCTCTTCCAAGCACAGGGCAAGCAATTTAACTGTTGCCAAGATTTTTATCCCCTGTCTCCAAAAACCTTTCCACAAGGAAATGGAATGTTCACCATTAGGAAGCAGGGTGAACCAAAATAAACAGGCTCCCATGGTTCCTGAGGGCACTGGTTTAAAGACTAGACCTATCATTATTCTGACCTTGTATCCAGGGTCAAATGGGTACAAATAGGAAATGACACTGGAAACAAAGACAGACAAAGATATGGGAGGAAGTGTCTGCTGAACACAGAAGGATCCAAGGTGATACCCAGCAAGGCAACAAAGCCGGGATCACCGTGAAGACTTTCATCAGCAGGCAGACAGGCAGCTTAGTGTGGCCTGCTCTTAGGATTCTGGCCTGTGTATGCCTGTTGCCAGACAGAAGAAGCAAAAGCATCGTGCTTTGGAGGCTGTCTGACTTAATACTAACAGGGCAAGAGATCTGCAGTAGTGCTGTCAATCTTGACTCCTCCTTCAGTACTCAAAAGAACCTGTATATTCTTTATCAGTTTACCTTTCTGGACTCAAACACCCAGTGGCTCTTCCCATCCTCATCAATATGATTCCACCAACGTAGGCCAACCATTAGTCTACCAGTGACATTCTGGGAAAAAGTAATATGAACACACATTTTTAAGCATCATTTAAAGCATTATAAATCCCATCTACTATAGTGTACTATTTCCTAAAATTCTTCACCTCTCCTCCAGAATAACCAATTAACCCCTATGTACCAGTCCTAGCTAAAGACTAAAGAAAGTGGCCATGTCAAGGCCAGGATGCATGGAGCTCACAGGATAAGCAACAGGCCTGCCCAGAAGCACTATCCTTTCTTCTCACTAAGACAGAACACTGTCCTTCCTCTAAACCTCTAATTCCTTCCTAGGTCTTCTCTTCCTTCTATTTTTAATTTTTAAAATGGGGTTTGTCTTACAGTTACTATTGTTGTAATAAAACATTATGACCAAAACAACTTAGGAAGGAAAGGATTTATTCAACTTATATTTTCACATCATAATTAATCATCAGAGGAAGTCAGGGCAGGAACCTGAAGGCAGAAGCTGATGCAGAGGCCATGGAGGGGTACTGCTTACTAGCTTGCTCAACCTGATTTCTTATAGAAGCCAAGACCACTAGGCCAGGGAAGGCACCATCCATAATGGGCTGGGCCCTCCCTGAAAAATTACCAATTAAGAAAATGCCATAGACTTGCCTACAGCCCAATTATTTTGGAAGTATTTTCCCAATTGGGGCTCCCTCCTCTCTGATAACCCTATCCTGTATAAAGTTGACACAAAACTAGCCAGTACAGGGTCTCATATCATAGCCCTCTCTGACCTAGAACTCACTATGTAGACCAAGGTGGCTTGAATTTGTGATCACTCTGCTCTTGCCTCCCAAGTGCTAAGATTACTGCTATACAATAACATACCCGTCCTGGGCCCCTATTTCTTCTAATCTTATACTGCCAAGTTCCTTTGTTGTGGAATATTACTTTAACTGTGTGAAGATGTGTTACACTTGTTTATGCTGCATTTGTTTTAACAATATAAAGATGTGTTTCTTTGCCTGCCTAAGGCACCTGACTGGTCTAATAAAAAGCTGACCAGCCAAAAGCTAGGCAGTAGAGGGACAGGTGGGGCTGGCAGACAGAGAGAATAAGAGGGAGAGAAAGAGAGGGAAACTCCCGAGGCCAGACAGCCAGGCAACCACCAGACACAGAGTAAGCAAGAAAGTAGAATATATAGAAGGAAAGAAAGGTAAAAGGCCCCAAGGCAAAATGTAGATGAAAAGAAACAGGTTAATTTAAGTTTAAAGAGCTGGCAAGAAACAAACTTAAACTAAGGCCAACCATTCATAACTAATAAGTCTACACGTCATGATATGCGAGCTGGTTGGTAGCACTTTTAAAAGAGAAAGACTGATATATTTCTTTGTGTTTGAATTCATCTGGTGTTATCTGTGCTACTTTTATTTTTATCTAATGTCACTGTTTCAATTTAATCTTTTCGGACAAACTTTGTTTTTTATACCAATCTCAGAATTATCTTCAGAATGGGATTTTAACCAACATCTATTTCCTTAAAAGTATAATATTTACTACTGAAACAAATGTGCCCTTACTTCCAACCCCACCTGTACACATCAAAAATGCTTCAGACACTGAAAAACCCACAAAAAAATATATAGGGGGGTGGTGGTAAACGCCTTTAATTCCAGCAGAGACAGTGGATCTCTGAGTTGAGGTCAGACTGGTCTACAGAGTGAGTTGCAAACTTGCCCTTGCCCCTGGTTGAGAAAGACTGATCCCAAGTACCCTGTGGTTTTTGAAAGAAAAAAAAAAAGGACACTTGCTAAACATTTGTAAACAAACTATATTGGAACTTCACATAGAAATTATACCCAGAAATTCATAAACAACACTGGGTAAAATATGGAGATCCTATGGTTGCTAGATATATTTTGTAGCTTGGCACATGGCATCGCAACTGAGCAGTGTCCATGTAATCAAATATACCCAGCACTTTTACACAGGGAAGGCCTAAAGTAACAGGCAAATTAACACCAATCCAAAATGTTGTCCTGTTTCTTTCAATTCATTCATTACTTGAATTCATTATTAAGCATAACTTTAAAAACAACAGAACCTACCTTCACTGCCCAAAAGTCACATGACAGCAACAAGATAATCGTCACCATACAGGCAATGAAGCTGCTGCTGAGAAGCTCACAGAGGAGATAGACTACAACCGCACTGACTCGAAAGAACAGATGGAAGAAGGATGCCACTGGGTGTCTGAAAATCAAGACACAATAAACAGCATTATATTTCACCAGAAGTCCAGCCAACTCACAACCATGAAATAAGATTTGGGTGCCCCGGGAAGGACAAAGATTACCTCTTTAAGTCCCCACCACTTAACTAGGTTCTATTGTCATAAGAAAATATATTTCATGGCTGACTCTGACACCTCACTGAGCATAAACTTTCAAAGCACCTAATCAGAACTATACCAGCTCAGATTATCTAATCGCTTCTAGCATTATGTCAAAGTCACCATAGGGAGTTGTCTCTTCCTTTCCTCCTCCTCATCCTACTTGTTTTTTTTTTTTCCTCCTCCTTTTTTAAAGATAAGGTGTCACTAGGTAACTCAGGCTGTCTTCAAATTCACAATCTTCCAGTCCTCACCTCTGAGATTACACGCATGCATCATCATACATGTATGTATGCATGCTTTTTGTAAAACAGCTTTAGAGACATGATTCAAATACCACACAATTTGTCTACAAATTAATGTTTTTTTAATATAGTCAGTTGTGTGACCACTACCAAAATCAATTTCACAGCATTTTATTACATCAAAAAGCAAGTCTGTACCCACTGGCAAGCATCCCTCTTTTGTTCCCAACCCTTTCAGCCCTAAGCAGTCAATCATCTTTCTGTCTCTGTAGATTTAGCCATTATGGATGGACATTCTGTGTAAGTAAAATCACACAATACGTTGTCTCCTATGACCAGCACCTTTCACTTAGCACAGTGTTTTCAAAGTTCAAGTAGAATTTTACTTAAGTGAATTTCTTTAGAAAGAATACATTTAGTAGTACATTGAATTTTATTACTTATACAAGATATATATAATTCTGAAAGTTACAAAAGAAATCAAAATGTATTTACAGAAATTATAATTTCCTTGGTTTTTGTGACTTATGTCTTTTTGTTAAACTGAGAACTGAACCTAGGGCTTTAAGTTCTACCACTGAGCTAAAACCACACTCCCTATAGAAATTATATAAAGAAATGGTGCATTCTCAGAAAACAGCAGTCAGCACATACTTTAAAACATCAGTGCTCAAATAACTGATTTTACAAATTTGCTAATTTTAAAGCTCAGTGTTGAACAAAATTCTACATGCTAATACTCCTAAGAAAATCTCAAGTTACCTCTGCCTCATACTGCGCCAAACCAACAACATAATTCGCTTGCACAACTAACCTACTCTGCCCTGGATACTCCCATGGACTCCTTCTGAAGACCAGGCCCCAAGATGGCAGTACTGCTGTGGGAGGTGCTGGAAACCTTAAGAGGTGGGCCTGTCTGGATGGAGTGGGTCACTTAGGGCAGGTATGGTTCTTTCTGTTTCTAGTCTGCCATGAGATGAACCGTGTTTCTCTACTACATCCTTCTGTCAAAATGTCCTGCATCACCATGGGCCCAGAAGCAGCCAAACAAACACAGTGCCCATGCACTGAACCCTCCCAATACACCTCAGATAAAAACATTTTTTCTCTTTGGTTCTGTCATATGTTTTCTCACATCAGAAAGTGGGACACTGAGCTGAGTGCGATAGCCCACACCTTTAATCCCAGCACTAGGGAGGCAGAGGCAGGCATATATCTGAGCACAGCCAAGACTACATAGTGAGGCTGTGTCAAAAAAAAAAAAAAAAATCAAAGCAAAAAAAAAAAAAAACAAAAAAACACAAATCCCATCAGCTGACCCCAAGGTGGACACAAGAGATTAGACAGAAACACAACTCTAATTCAACCTTGTACCTGATTTTAGATTTTCTTGGTCTATTGGTTGTCTCCTCTTCTGCGTCAAACAGTGAGACATCTTCAGTGTCATCATTGCTGTCCTATTAGGAAATTAAAGATCTATGATAAAAATGAAATTCAGTGTTTATATGCCTACTGCATATACACCTACACAATCCTCAAAATGGAAGGTGAAATCATGAGTTTCAACTATCAGGAATTCACAGCTTATGAAAAGAGGCACCTGCAGATCCTCCACTCCCAACTCTACTTGAAAACAGACAAACAAAAACTGCCCCGTGACAATCTAATAATCAGCTAACATCAGCCAGTGCATTAGCTGCAACCCAAGAATTAAGTACCACAGAATCCACAAAAGTGGGTGGTCATGAGCGAAGATGCAGACAGGAAGGAAATCATATAAAAATCCCTTTGGTGGGCTGCATCTCAGTGAAACAAGCATCAAGGCTATCAGACACAAAAAAAAAAAGACAAGGGGATAAATATTTAAAGTTGCAGAAAAGTTTTAATGGAAAGGCTGCCTGGGGAAGGGAAAGCGGAAACTACAAAAATGTCAAATGTCCAGCAGGTGGAAGAGTTTATCCACAGTCACAGGCTTAAGAGTAGGAAAGGAACAGTTGGCATGGTTGTCTGTCCCCAGCACCCTTCATTATGGGTGCACCTTCAGAGAGCTGAGATGAAACCACCAATGGATTTGCTCCGCTCCATATTTCCCCATAGCAGACTTTTCTGATCACATATTCTATCTAGTTAGCTCATCCTCAGACACTCAAGTCACTACCAGGTCTTTACTATTATGTTCCGAAAATATGTTGTTCCCCAATCTAATCTCTCCCCTCCCCATGCCCTTTATAGATGCCACCTCCACGAACATCCCAACCCCAACCTCACAATTCAGGGCAAGAAACCTGTCTGTGTTATTCACTCCTATTCTGAGCCTGGAGCAGTTAGTTGCCTGAGCAATGGTAATTCCGCAGGATATTACTTACAAAATAAAAAGAGAAATCTAAATGGGAGTTTATAGTACTTTTTTAAAGGAAGGAAATATATTACGTTTACTAATCTCTAGCCGAAAGTCAACTGGCTACAACGATCCCTCCCAGCACAAATGTGATACCCATCGTGACTATCAATGTAACAGCAAGGTAACATCTACTCGAAACCAAGGCTCTAGTACTCTCCTCTCCCTACAGGACCGTCCCGCACTTGAGTGTTTGGGCAGGAGAGCAGACGACGCCTGCAGGCCGTTCCCTCATCCGGGTGGACTGCGGGAAGCCGGGTCACCCTGACTTCACCCCCAGAACTTCCTGCAGCCAGAGCTCCACGCCCGCTGGCGACCCGCCTCTACCTAGCATCCTCAGCTCTACTCCTCCTGGGTCCCCAGTCCACCCGACCCTCGGAACGCACAGAACCCTCTAGCGACCACTGGCCCGGGCCCTACACGTCTGCCCACCCAGCCTGCCCTTCCTCCAACTCAGGCAGGGGACAAGCACACGAACACAAAAGCCTCGGGGACTGGGCAGGTGGCCTGGCCCCAACTCAAGCGATCGTACCGGCTCCAGACACCCGGCCGCCCTCCCTCCCCTGCGCACAC